TTTTGACAAACCCATGTTGGCTTTTAGTAATGACTTTGTTTGCCTCTAGGTGTTCGTTGATTCGTTGTTTGATTATCTTTTCCAGGATCTTCCCAGTATTGAGGTCAGGCTGATAGGTCTGTAATTTCCTGGGTCTGTTTTTTTTTCCTTTTTTGTAGATGGGAACTACATCAGCTCTTTTCTAGTCCTCTGGTAGTTCCCCTGTGCTCCAGGATTTGAAATATTCCTTCTTCCCTTCCCCATCTTTTTCACATATAGATTGTCCTGGTTTCATAAATAAAAGCTTACCAAGATTTTAAATATTATAAGCTTGAAATATTACATCTCAAAATACATCAATGCAATACATAATAAACCTTGATTGCTGTCCAATGTGCTGAAATTCATATTGGTGTGCTCAGGTAATAAGTTATGAAAAAATTAATATTTGATTTTAAGACAGTGTTTCTCAACCTTGACAATTTTAAGGCATGTGGACTTCAACTCCCAGAATTCCACTGCTGGCTGTGGAATTCTGGGAGTTGAAGTCCACATGCCTTAAAATTGTCAAGGTTGAGAAACACTGTTTTAAGAGCTAAACTTTTAAATTAACAATTCAATATATTCATTTGTAGTTTAGATAATATTTCAAATTCTTTTGATGTAAATTAAACTACATATTTCATTTAAAATTTGCTGTTCTTCAAATCAATTCAGATCTTATATGATTCCTTCAGAATTATTCTACCCAACATTCTATCAAATGAAAAAGGTAAAATTATTTTCCAAATGCTTTATCAATATTTTATATTACCCAAGATATTTCAGATATGTACTTTCTTTTTAAGTCTCAAACTTTTTCTCCCATACTTTCAATAATTGTTGAAAAGGACTACAAATCTTAAATTGTGTATGATGGGAAAGCTAAATAAACCATTGATCATGTACCATAAATATAATTTCTCCTTTTTGAGTACTAATACTTGACTACATTTAATGCAATTCTGTCTGGCAAGTGACACTCAACCCACTTTATGACTGATGAGGATTGCATAAGAATTTTCATCAATTGTTTCTGCATGCTAGGTAGGTAAATTACAAAATTCTTTGAAGTATAGTCTTTTATGCTAAATTTTGGGGAAATTAATTTTCAGTCACCAAGTTCCAAATGCAAAATAAAAATTAACAGCCATAGTTTTGAGGGAAACCAATCAATATTTTATATTTGAACTACATCATTGTATTATTCACATTGGTGAATTTTGTTAATATTCATGTACTGGAATATATTTACTTTTCATAAGGCACTTTAAAGTGTTCAATCTACAGTAATTGATGTTTGGTCTCATTATTAAGCCAAGCAGTTAGGGGAAAAAGTGCTGCAGTTCATCATAAACTAAAGACCAGCAATTAATATTTTCTTACTTTAGCTCCATGAAAAAATGTTCTACATTTTGCAAGAATAATAAACAGCACATGCACGCAGACACACAATCACCCCAGAAAGAGAAAGAGAGAAACAGAGAGAGAGAGATCCATGAGAGAAAAAACCGAGAGAAAACATGCACAAAACTTAACTGTTCCTTAATCACAAGTATTTTGAGTATCAAATTGTTAAAATGGTTATGTTTAGAATAAGTGGAAGGCTGGAAGACCTCAGTGGAAGACTCCCACTGAAAACCATTGGAAAATGTTTCAAAGAGTACCTTAGATTTCAAGGAAAATTATCCCAATGAAAAGATTTTTAATTTCAGACAAAAGTTTTCTAGGAAAGCAATCTGTCCTTTATGGAAACACAAATTATAAATTTTACTCCCAGTTCCTTCAGATCACAGTAAGTTCCATTAGGCTTTCCAACATTCTGGAGAAAGTAAGCAAATGCCTTTGATTTGGGGACATATCTCCAGGCTTATGCTCCTCTACTGTACATTTTTCATAATCCAGGTCTATGCTGACTGGGATTTTTGAGAGTTTAATGTATTTTGATGACACCAAGTTAGAGAAAGCAGTTTGGAGCATAATTTTTAGTGTAAAAGATTTCTTTGGAAGACAAATTTATGTGGAAAGAATGTCCTGATGATAAAAGTTTAAGAGCCATTAGAAAGCAGAAATCTAGATTAAACTTTCACTAATCAAGACAGGAATGTTAATATATTCCCTTATTATGATATATATTTTAAAAGTATGGAAACATGAAAGAGAAAAATGACTACAAGATCATTTATATCAATGAAAATAGTATTCTAAATTGGTCAAGTTGGAATCTACTGACATCATCCAAATAAAGAAAGACAATGAAAAAATGTATAACGAGATTCTCAGTCATCCAAGTGATAGTTGTCCCAAAGATGCTTTTTTCAAAAGGCAACTGGACTTTTTTTTCTTGAAGACATTTCACTTCTCATCCAAGAAGCTTCTTTAGTTTTGACTAAATGGCAGAGGATGGATGGATTTAAAAATAAGGAATATATATCCTTCCATCCTCCATCATTCAGTCGGAACTGAAAAAGCTTCTTGTATGACAAACAAAACATCTTCAAGAAAAAAATCAAGGAAAAAAAGCACCTTTGGGACAGTGAAAAAAATGGATCAAGAACTACCAGTATATAACCTCTAGCATGGTCTGATAAAGTTTGAAGGGTCAGAATGAAGCAACTCTTCAGTTTTTAGTTACAGTCCTATATTATCCTTGTGAACTCTAATGCTTCCTCTTTCCATAACATATTCAAGATGGTCAATGATTAATATTTATGTTATTTATATGTAAGGATGAAGGCTTATACATATGTTGTATATAGCATGTTTAAATGTGAGTTATGTACTATATGTATACACTTTTGAGAGCAAGCAACTAAATTTCATTTCTAACGTGTGCCAATGTGCCCACAGTAAGAAAATAACAATAAAGGTTATCTTATTAAAATAAAAGCTCATTTTATTTAAGAATTCTCTAAAACAGCTAAAATGCAACGATTTATTAAATATACTCCTCTATATGAGACAGCATGAAAACAGACTCTAAACCTGCAAACCATAAAGAATAAACTGAAGTGCAGTTCAAAAAACTGAGTAATGTAAATTATAATGTAGCTTGAAGATGATTTCTTTGTCTCTGAGGGTAGGAAGGGGCTAATTCTCTGAAAATTTAGGAGTCAACACTTTGGCATCTGTTAAAATAAAGGATATGTAAAAGCTTTCTATATTCTCTCTCAATTGCTTTCCTGAACTAAACTTAATTCTAGACTGAAAGTACAAAAAATATCTCAGCTCTCTATTCTGACTGATATTGTACAGACATCTTTGTAGTGCAGTGGGTGAACAACTGAACAGGTAAGAAATTCGAAATAGCATATGACAGCCTTGTCACACATGTCTTTATTGATGAAGTTTATCAAAACTTGACATTCCTACAAAAAAGAAGAAAATTAATTTTCAAAGTTTTATTGTATTATATTTCTAAATTTTCCTTACTTCTGCTATCCCACCATGAGATCATATAGTATATATGTATATTGTATATGTATACAAACAGCTCAAGCTTCCCAAATATCACCAGCATTCCTTTCAAAATAAAATAAGAAAGAACTTTTATTTGAGGAGGAAGAGAGTATTCCATAATAGATTTTGATCAATACTAATTTTCTGAACCTTATACACACAGAGTTTATGGGTATCAAATTACTCATGTAATTTGTATTTACATGTTACTCATGTAAATGGATAGCATATTAACTTTTTATTCAATCAGGATCAAATCTGTATAATTGTTTTATTAATTACTTCTTTCTTAGATACCCTTCCCCTTTAAGTTGATTCTCAGTAAGTAAAACTCCAATATGAGTTTACAATCATCAGTACTTTTTTTAATATCATGACTATACCTGGTCTATCTGGGAAAAACAGCTTTTCCTGAGAAACATCAGAATAATTTGTAGCTGAAAATGGGATTTATAATCTCTACATTAGTAACAAGCCAACTGGCAGATGACAAAATCTAAGTCAGGGATCTGTAAATCACCTGCTAGTTTATACTAATGCATAAACTGCTCTCTGGAATTGAGAAATAAACCATATAAACTATGGGAAAAAAGAGTTATAATAGGACACCGATAGAAAATTCAGGAAATCTTCCTCTATTAAATATCCCCATTTGTTTTGTTCTCAGTCGCATTAATTCACAATTGAAAATGTATGTTAAAGGTCAACTAGGAATGTTTACAAGACAGCATAATTTTAAAAGACAAACAGCTACATCTCCACGTAGTATTAAACCCTTCAACCTGAACCACATTTATAAAATTTACTTTTGTTAGGTGAACTGAGATCATTGCCACAAAACATACATTCTGTATTTATAAATATGTTGTATAGGATGCTACATACTTAAGATATCTAGAATGTCCTAATCAATAATGACAAGGTTGTTTCTTTCTATAAAAGAAACAATGGGATGAGGGGAAAAAAGGACAGCTCAGAAGAAATAATAAATTGTGTATTTCAGAAAATTTGATAGACTGATATTTCTGTCTGAATGCCTACCCATGCAATGAAGATCTTTTAATACAATTCTCTTTTGAGACATTTCCCCTATGAAGATGCTTGGTTGACTTTTAGCATGTCATCTAAAAATACAAAAAGAGCAGTATCTATTGTTTGCAGAATGAATGGACTGTGTTTCTTCCTCTGTACCCACCCCTTCTGCAAAAGTGCCCTTTCAAAATGTACAAACAAAGCTGAGGATTCACATTTTTTTTTAGTGTTGTCCCCTACACAAATGCCTATTGCTCCCCTAATGGGGGGAAGGAGTTTGCATACGAGAAGCCTCTGGTTAGAAAGGCACCCAAAGAAAGCAATTCAGCACACTTGCAACTATATATTGGATAGAAGGGATATTCCCCATCCTAATTTTTCCCTGTTGAGTAAACAGGGATATTTCCACCTCCTCCCTCGCCCTTCCCAGCCCCTTCAACCATTATTTGTCACTCCGTTCAACCAAACCCAAGGCTTGTTCCTCCTCTTACCTCGACTTCTCTGTTCTTCTCTTTGTTTTTACCTATGGAACTTCTCCCATTGCTAGTCGTCTCCTGCGCTGGAATTACCGAGATCCGCCGGAGAGGCATTTGGACAAGGCTGTGGGTTGCCTAAGCCTGATTGGGCGTCTTTCAGCTTTACTCCCTCTGAGTAGCCCACCTGGAAAATTGTTCATATCCTCGCGCCGCCGGAGCCTGTTGTGCCTCGCGAAAATCAGAAGAGGGATTCTGAAGATTTCCTTTGGGGGTGGGGGGTGGGGATGAAAGCAAGCACCAGCCCTGCCCGTCACTTTCGGGCAGAGCGCAGAAGAGGCGGCCGAGAAAAGGCAGAATATTCCAGGAGTTTGAAATTCTCCGAGAGGCGAGTTCCTGCCAGTCAGAACTCCGCAGCTTTGTCACTGGAGCAACCTCTTCCCCACCCCCCACCCCTTCCTCCAGAGCATTGTGGGAGACAATTCAATGTCTCTGTTACCTAATAACTGTCATGGAAACGAAGGCAAAGCTGGGTCTTGATTAAAAGGCGTTTCTTTCCTCGCACAGCTTCTCGGGCGCTTCCATTTTTTGCACAATCGCTTTGGCCGCCCGACTGCTGCCTCCTCTCCCGAGAGAGCAGCCAGCCGCAGACCGTCTCGGTCGGTACCGCCTGGTGCGCTGGCGCTGCCTGGGTAATCAAATTAAGGGCACAGGCGAAAGGCGCTTAGCGTCCTATTTTGGAGCCAAATCTCTTCCCCAGAAGGCACCTCCTCGCCCTGTCCTTCACACGCCTCCAGTAATCTGCTTAGCGTTCAGAGGAGCTGCCCCGAAGGGAAAAAGGAACGCTTCAACCTAAAATAACAAAAGTGGTGCCGATGGAAAAAGAGCAGCAATTGCAAATGGGCCTCTCCGGGGCAAGCAGTAGAAAAATGTTAACCCTTTCCTTTCGTATCTTCAGCAAAAGTACTTAAATGGACAGGACCTGCGTTGCCGCTTTCTGGACAATTTTGGGAAAGGGGAGCCCGTGACAACAAGAACTGCAGCTTAACCAGTATCTCCCTTGTTGAACCCGGCTAGAAACTGAGCTGACACATGAAACTGCAATCTAAATTTCCATATGACAGCATAGTGCCTGGGTTTTGCTTTTTTGTTTTTTTTGCACTGAATGGGATTCTAATTTGCTGAATTTCAAATCCCACTGATGCTGGGATAGGAAATGCCAGTTGCTTTTCTCTGCTAGGGCATTGGTTCACATTGGTTCTTGATAGACCTTTCCTTTCTATCACCTATGCCACCTCACCCCTTGCCCTGCCAAACCCACAGTGGAGCCTTTCTTTCTCCTTTGCTCTTTCAGCTTCCTGTGCCTCAATTAAACAATTTCCAACTGCCTCTAGAAGTGTGGTGCCTTGAAGTTAATCTGGGATGTTCTGGATTCCAACAACTCTTCCAACTGGGTTCATATCGGAGCAGCTGAACTGTAGCCAAGTACCAGGAGAAAGACTGGAAGATTTCTGCAACAGGGGAAAGCAACTAATAGATACTTTCTGGAGATGGCTGGAACTTCACTTTCCCATACGAGTGGGAACTTCAATAAGATTTCAGAAGGAAGACATGTACCATACAAATGATGCAGAAAAGAATGCCATGTACTTTATGATCACCATCCCACTGCTTTCTTCATATGGGGAAGCAGGTTTCCACCTAGCTGCTGGATTTCTATGGAAGACCATATCAAAGGCCTGAAATGGCTTCTTCCATCTTCTAGTCTAGTGAATGCTTTTGGCTGTGACTAGAAACTTGCCCTACTGTCTCCAAAACCACTGTTGCAAAAGTTGTCAGTTTCTAGAAGCAGGAGAAAAGAGACACTTAGCTCGATCTCCTAATTACAAGGACAATCTACCAGGAGCCACAAATAGGGGAATGATGAAGCTCCAGCCATCTCCAGAAACAGTTTATATGCTGTGGACAATTGTCTTTCACCAGGGAGTGGGTAGTAATTAGGGAGTGGGTCTGGGGAAAAGAATGTAAAGGATCAAAATAGTTTGCTTTACACTTACAAGGGAACATAAGCAAGATATCCATTACCGTACTGCCTGCTTGTTCCTCCACATACAGAGTTGTAGCATGGTGGAGGCAATCATACCTAACTAAACAGTCTTCCTACAGGTCAAGGTGCATTTTTCTGCTCTTATTTGAATTCTGCAAGTGCCATCGGGTTCACCGTTATGACACAGGCCTTTAGTGGTCTTCTCTGGCTGTCCAAGGCTGCTCTGGAAATCATTGCCTGACACTACTATCTCCTTTAAGGCAGCCCAATAAGATTCAGAGCACCTCACCCACTGCCTTAGCGTTTGTGGTCCCTTTCACCCTTCTGCTGTCATTTTTAGTTCCTCCAACAACAGAAGACCAGATCACTGAAGTCTGAACTTTATTTCATGGCCAAATGTTAGTCAACCAGCCATGAAGTTGTACTTGAAGAAAAAGAACAAGTATTTTATGCCATGCCCACAGTTCCATGTAGCATCCAGCACTTTCATCATGCTTATGGAAATCTTTTGCTGTTCATCCTTCTATTCCCATAGTGCGGTGTTCCTACCTGTTTCTTACTTTCATGTCACACTCTGGTCCCTACATAGAATTCTCTTGGTATGCATGGGACATTAGGACTTGCTAGTCTGCTAATTTGGTCTGTTTCCTAGCATGCTGCCATATGGCTACAGCTAGGTTGAGGGCAGACTGTTTGACCAGGTATTTAATTCCATTCTGGTACATAAGTCACCTTTCTACTGCTGCAGACTGAACCTTGCACAATGTTTTCAGCAGGCACAAGAGATATCCACTAGCTCAGTGGTTATCAACCTTCCTAATGCCACGACCCTTTAATATAGTTCCTCATGTTGTGGTGACCCCCAACCCCCTATCCAGCTGGCTGGGGGTATCAAAAACTTGACCCCCTCAAAGGAAAAAAATGGGAAAGTATAGGTTGTCCTCAACTTACAACAATTCGCTTAGTGACTGTTTGAAGTTACAACAGCACTGAAAAAGTGAATTATGGTCATTTTTCACACTTATGATTGTTGCAGCATCCCCACGATCATATAATTTACATTTGGATGCTTGACAACTGATTCATACTTATGACGTTCACAGTATCCCAGAGTCACGTGATCAATGGCCAGGGGGCATGGCCAGATGATCACTCAGGTTGCAGAGTGCCTGTGGGGGGGAATCTGTGGGTCTCTGGGATGGGACTGGGGTGGGTGCCTGCCTTCCTTCCCTCCCTTCTCTCCCCTTGTCCCTTCCTTCCTTCCTTTTCTTCCTTTCCTTCACCTCCCTTTAGTCTCTTCCTCCTTCCCTCCCTCTCCCATTGTCCCTTCTTTCCTTCTTCCTTTCCTTCACATCCTTCTTAGTCTCTTCCTCCTTCCCTCCCTCTCCCATTGTCCCTTCTTTCCTTCTTCCTTTCCTTCACATCCTTCTTAGTCTCTTCCTCCTTCCCTCCCTCTCTCCCATTGTCCCTTCTTTCCTTCTTTCCTTCCTTTCCTTCACCTCCCTTAGTCTCTTCCTCCTTCCCTTCCTCTTTCCCATTGTCCCTTCTTTCCTTCCTTTCCTTCACCTCCTTCTTAGTCTCTTCCTCCTTCTCTCCCTCCTTCCTTCTTTCCTTCTTTTCCTTCACCTCTCTCTTAGTCCCTTCTTTCCTTCCTTCTCTCCCTTCCATTGTTCCTTCCTTCCTTCCCTCTCTCATTGTCCCTTACTTCCCTCCCTCTTTGTCCCTTCCTTCCTCCCCCCCTCCATGCCCAGGAAGGGACAAGGGGAGGGGGACAGGCTGCCAGAGGCAGAGGAGAGCTCCGCCCAGCTCACTTGCTCAGCTTCGCCAGAAAACATGCTTGCTAAGTTAGCAGAAGCACCGGGCTACAGCTGATTTTCACCTGCTAAATTAGCAAGCGGCATGTTTTCTAGCAAAGCTTGAGCAAGGTTTGCTGGGCAGGAGCCATGAAAGCTGCTACAGCTGACCTGCTTCTTGGCTGCTCTGCAGAAGCGCGGATCAGCTGTAGAGGTTCGCCCCAATCCTGGACAAGAGGGAAGGAAGGAAGGACGGAAGGGACAAGGAGAAAGAGGGAGGGAAGAAGGGACAAGCGGGAGGTGAAGGAAAGGAAGGAAGGAAGGAAGGAAGGAAGGAAGGAAGGAAGGAAGGGACAATGGGAGAGGGAGGGAAGGAGGAAGAGACCAAGAGGGAGGGAAGGAAAGGAAGTTCCAGCCAGGAGAGGCTTGCCAGCCTGGCTGCCGAGGAACAGAAGAGTGCAAAGCCAAGGAGAAGAAGGTGGCAGTTTCCTCCCAAAGGGGGCTCCTTTTCTCCACTCCTTCCCTGGGTTTGTGGGGAATTTCTCATCACCAACACTGACAGGTGCTCCTTCGAGCCTGCTGTGAGCTTTCTCGACCCCTTTGCTTCTCCCCCCCCGCTTTCATGAGGATTGTGGCACCCTTGGGAAGCCAATTGTGCTTTGAAGCTTAGGAGAGGAGGAGTCCCTTCCTCCTTACCTCCCTCTCTCCCTGTCAAGCCCCAGTGGGCTCGACATGAATGGGCGGAGGAGTCGAGGACGGGTGGGGTGGCAAAGGAGACTGGCGGCCGCCGCCAGACCTCCCAGCTGACAAGTGCAAGTTCGGGGGTTGCCAGCTGACGGGCGCAGGAGTTGGGTGCTGCGGCAGCCTCCCCTTCACTGACCTGCGTGCACGAGAAGAAGTCAATCCGGTTGCTGCACAATGAGTCTCTGGGGAGGGTGGGGCCTTGCTCTGCACCTGCACTCTTCATGTGCCCCCTGCAGGGCACATTTGGTAGAGTTTGTGCAGACTGCCATCAAACAGCATATTTTCCACAAACAAGTGAGGTGGAGCAGAGGGGGGGGAGGAAGAGAAGGCGGTTGACAAGCCATACCTAAAGCCATCGGAAATATGTGTTTTCCAATCCTCTTAGGCGACCCCTGTGAAAGGCTCGTGCAACCCCCAAAAGGGTCACGACCCACAGATTGAGAACCGCTGCACTAGCTGAACATCCTTTCATTTTCCATTCCCAGAGCAACCAGCTGACCTTTTTCTGTCCTCCTTCATTCGTAGCATAACACAACACTGTCCTATCCAAGTTTTGCCAAATTCTGAAGAATGAGAAGAGAGATGTACAGGGTAAAATTTGCAACTCCCTCCATCTTTGCTGATATGGTGTTCTTAGTGGCCCTGAACTATCAATCAACCATTATGTGTGGAGTTGGTTAATTACTCTACCACACAATACCTACATCAGGATCAGTAAAGAATTAATTCTTAGCCTTACTTTGTGGTAGTTTCCAAGAATGATCTTTGCATGGATAAGAATGTGCTCAACAGCCAGGCAAACTTCCACAAAAATCTCAGCTGCCATTGTTAGTGCTAGGCTGAATTAATGTACCAATTCACAATCTGTGGCCTGTGTTGCCAAAGCAAACTGTGATGGCCACCTACTACTCTACAAGTATTCTGGCTGCAGTATTTTTTCCTGCTGTTAAGCTATGGTCACAGATTTTCAACCTGTTGAACAATTTCAAACAGGCTGCCTGTATCTTCTAGAAGTTGGCAAGGCAGCAGTAATCACTACTAACAACCATCTACTAGTGGTCCTGTGCCAGATATATCCATCACCACAACTGGCAGTAATCCAACACCATGCAGGATGCAGCCATAATTGTTCATGCCAAGATTTGACTGTTCAAAAATCCTGCACCTGGCAGGATAGAATAAAAGTGCTGCTACCATGGCTTCCATCTCAGTGTTTTCTCTGTTGCTAATTAAGGGTCTCAGTATACTTCTTATAACTGCAGCCAGAAGCAAGTCCTTGGAAATAGCTCAAGAGTAGTGACTGCTTACCATCCTGACTGTTACTGCTTTTGAAA